TKRWWAAMMAWTWWYTTTAWTTTTAGACTCGAGTTTTAGTGACTCATGCTGTAAGTTTTCTTCCACAAGTCGACCAAATTGTGGTCCTCCAAAATGGCCGGATTTCTGAGGTAAGTGCGTTTCCCTTTTAAAAGCTGTACCGSTCTTGATACAGGGGTTTTCGTARTAGCATCCTACTAAAATCTCATATMATTGTAGATYGGTACTTATGAAGAACTCCAAGCTAATGAAGGCGCGTTTGCCGAGTTCCTGAAGACATTTGCCGCTGAGGAAAAAGATGATGTGACCGACGGTGAGTCACGGAATTTAAATGACTTAAAATGATAGGACAATCACAATACCGAAATTGATGGTGATTACAGTGTATCAAAGATGATAAACCCGCGATTATTTTCAGTTAACCAAACAATTCAGGAACTTCCCGARGAAGAGGAGAGAGAAGAAAACGAGGAAAACGAAGGCGAGGTTGACATTCTTGCTGAACTACGTCGACAAACAAGTTCGGAAGACGAGATGGATGCACCKTTTGAACCTCCWACCATCATGCCTCATCGACCTGTGCTGCAAAGRCGGRGCAGTGTCATRACSATGGGAACAACTATCACTTGCGATACGGCCGACACTGATGGAATGACTATCGTTGAGGAAGAAAGAGAAATAGATACCATGATATTTGAAGAGAGGGCGGCGAAAGGAAGTGTAAGTCTCTTCTCTCRTTGTTGAACACGATAACTGAAATCTGCTCAATAAAACTATTGTAAAATGTGTTTTTATTCATTCGGGCCAATAAGAGATTTTAGAATAATTTTAGGAAACGTTTATATGTTTTCAGGTGAAGTTTAGTGTATTTTGGACGTATGCTAAGTCAATAGGGGTTGTCATATCCTTTGTTTGGCTTTTCTTTATGGTCGCCTCTGAGGGATGTCTGGTAGGTTCACGAGTATGGCTTGCCATGTGGAGCTCAGACCCCGACACGTCAACTAGCACACGTGACCTTTACTTAGGAGTGTATGGTGCTCTTGGTTTTGGTCAAGCTATGTTGGTTCTTYTGTCAGCTATCTGTCTAGCATTTGGTTCTATCAGGGCRTCCASRTACCTCCATGACACGCTACTTATCAACATTCTTCATTCTCCTATGTCGTTTTTCGAGACAACGCCGATTGGTCGAGTGGTGAATAGGTTTTCAAAAGATCTCTATACCATCGATGATGCAGTGCCTCGTTCTTTGGGAGGATTTTTGAGGATGTTGCTTAGCGTGTCGGGGACCTTGTTTGCAATCAGTTATGCCACGCCACTTTTTTTGGCAGTGATTGTACCTTTGGCTGTGTTATATGTTTTCATTCAGGTATGTTTGGTTTTTCATCCACAATCAGTATTTTGATCAACATCATCATCATCATCATCAATTCAATGTTCTTACATATCCATGCATTGTTTCCAGCGTTGGTTTGTAGCATCGTCACGTCAGCTGAGACGGATTGAGTCAGTAAGTCGTTCCCCTGTTTACAACTATTTCTATGAGTCAGTCAACGGGACATCGACGATCCGGGCCTACCATCAACAACTGCGATTCACTCGAGGAAGCTTTTACAAAGTGGACGAGAATCAGTTGGCATTTTACCCAATGATCTGTGCAAACAGGTAAAATCCAATTAGATTTAGTAAGTCTAGTATATCGTAACTTGTCTGGCGAACTTATCCTTCTTGAGATTAAAAACTGTTTTGAACCAATTCCAGAAGTGTTTGGAACGGATTGCTTAAAGTCATCTTATCTCCTTTTTGCAATAGAGCTTTGAGCTTCTCAAGCAAAGATGAAATATTTTCGCGGATCTATATGAATGATGACACGTAAACACATGTTATAGAGCGGATTTCGTATGAGTGGGACACTGCACAATTTTTGTGAACCAATGGGGCACTAGAATGTGGTTACAGTACGATTACGGTCACAGTACAGTACCGTCCGTTTCCCACTCATTCGAAATCCGCTCTAATGGATCTATACAATACTTGTGTTGTTCTGATAGGTGGCTTGCTGTTCGCTTGGAGTTKCTTGGAAATCTTATCATTCTATTTGCTGCATTGTTTGCTGTCATTGGTAAAGACAATATTGAAAGTAGTCTGGTTGGAATGTCAATCACATACGCATTACAGGTAAGTCCAGATAGTTGGTGTTTAGTATTACTACGCACCGTTAGATTATACCCAGGAAGAAATCGAAGAAAACTTGTAGTCATTGGATGTTTCTGCTGGAGAGGCGATGTCCAGTAGTGATTTTTTTTATTTGGCAAATCTATCAATGTTAGTTGATGTTAATAATAGCAGATACTTCCTATTTCTAGATCACTACAGCTCTCAATATGATGGTGCGCATGTCAAGTGAACTGGAAACTAACATAGTATCCGTCGAACGTACAAAGGAATATGCAGACCTCCCTACTGAGGTAATGGATCTCCACCCCATTGATATGGTAACAATTAGAGACCATTGCATGGTATTGACA